CCCCCGTGCTGGCAGCTCGCTCAGTGGGGCCGGCCGAGGGGAAGGTGACATTTTGAGATGGTGAACAGAGCCCAGGCTCTGCCCCAATTTCTCTACACCCTCAACGCCTCAGTTTGTCCCAGAGAGGGCAGGGATGTGATACCGGGCTTGCTGTGGGGTGTTGCCAAGGCTGGTCCCGCACTCCCTTGGCCCCGAGGGCAGCCCCTTGGCCCCGCTCCTCCCTGCCCGGCGATGCCCGGTGCCCACCCCCTCCCCGTGCCGACCCCCGCTCCGCCGCTCCCGTCCCTCCAGGAGAAGCGGAAGCGTCAGACGGAGATCGAGAACAAAAGGCGGCAGCTCGAGGATGACAGGCGGCAGCTGCAGCATCTCAAGGTGAGCATCCCCCGCGACCCCCAGGCTGCCTCTGCCCCGGGAGCCCCCGGCTGGGGGAGGGCAGGACCGTGACCCCTTTCTGCTCCCCAGTCCAAGGCTCTGCGGGAGAGATGGCTCCTGGAGGGGGCCCCGGCTTCTGCCTCCGAGGAGGAAGAGGCCATGAAGAAACAGATGCAGGAGGATGAGGTGAAGACCAAGGAGCTGGAGGAAACCATCCAGAGGTAACGGGGCCAGCGTGGGTCAGATATTGGGGTGCAGTTAGAGAGCACCCACGTCCCTCCAGAGACCCCTGGGCAGGTGGGTGCTGCTGGATCCCATGTGCTGGGCACAAGGCAGGGTACACTGAGCTTGGAGATGTTCTGGGGCTCACCCTGAGCCCTTGGCTGGGTTCTTGCCAGCTTTTGTGCCGGGGCTGCAGCCAGCCCCAGAGCCTGTCCAGCCCTGCAGCCCCTCCGGTCACCCCCAGCTGTGTCGGTGTCGGTGAGAGCCACGGGGCGGGGTGCCCCGGGCTGGGATCCCGGGGGGCTGCTCGGTGTCCAGCACCCTTGAGGGCAGGCTGCTGCCTCCCACAGACCCCCGTCCTCATCGTGGTGGCCCAGCCTTTGGGAAGGGGCGGGGGTTGAGCAGGGAGATGGCTCAGCCCCTGCCCAGCTCCCTTGTCCCCGGGCCCGGAGGTGTCCCGGCAGCGCAGCAGGAATGCAATCAGTCACCGTGGTGCCGCTAATTACCGAGCATCGGTGCAGAGAGGGGTCAGGCACGAAGGGGCCTTTGTGTCCGGCTAATGGCGCGGTGCATTCCTCCGCGGGCGCCGTGCGAGCAGCCCGGGGGAGCTCTGCCGGGGGCAGCTGCTGCCCGTGGGGACACCCCGGACCTCTGCTACATCCCACAGGGGCTGTGCTGCCAGGCTGGTGGCTGACAACAGGGGGTTAGCCTCGTGGAAAGCTCAGCGAGGTTTGGAGGGACAGGTGGAGGAGCAGAAGGATGATGATGATGGATGGAGCAGCCTCGCTCTGGCCACCAAGGGGTCGGCCCCCCTGCCCAGTGCCCATGGCGGGGTCTCTGCCATCCACTCAGTGCTGAACCCTTTGGCTTTTCCCCTGTAAAGGGACAGTGACAGCCATGCCAGAGTTTTTCTGTCCCCTTGTGAGCCCAGGGGACAATTTGTGTCTCCCCTCTCCCCTGCACTGTGTTGGTGGCCCTTGTTCACAGGTCTGCTGTGGCTGCCTGCAGCACAGTTACCTGTCCCACACTCTCCTCAGCTTCTCAGCCCTGACTCTCCCTGCAGGCTGGAGAAGGAGCTGGAGACGCTGGAGAGCAGCAGCTCAGTGACTTCGACCAAGGAGAACCTGGCAGAGGCAGCAGCCAAGGAGGAGAAGGCTGAGGCTGTCCCCAATGCGCAGAAGGTGGGCAGGGCTGCCAGCAGTGGGCTCGGGGTCCCTGGTGGGGATGGCTGGGTGGTGGGTCCTGGAAGCTCCTATAACCTCTCCCTTCTGTTTTGCAGAGTCCCCTGGGCACAGTTAAGGGTAGGTGAATCCTGATCCCCCTCAGCCGTGGTTCAGCACCAACCATCCCCTCCTGCTGCCCTGAGGCTGGTGCCAGATGGGTGGGGAGAGCCAGACAAGAGCCCTGTCCCCATGTCCCCTCTCGAGCAGTGGCACCCTGCGGCGGGGGAGCCCGTCCCAGGTGCCAGCCATGGGGGGACACACTGCCCTCCCCGGGGCCTGACCCATGGGCACACCAGGCGATCGTTGGGGCTCAGGCGGTTGTCTCTCCACCTCCAGCCGACAAGAGGCTCTCCAGCAGCCCCATGAAGGCAGTGGAAGGCAGTGACATGATGAAGGCGGGTAGGTGCCCACTGCCCTGGGAGGAGCGCTCCTTCCAGGCTGCTTCCCCCTCCGCACCGCCCTCGGCTCGCTGCCACCGCAGCCGCTCCCCGCCGTGCCGCTCGATGCCTTTCCAAGCCCAGGGCAGAGAATATCCGTCATTGCAATCGCAGCCTTTGGTTTTGCTTCCGCCCCACGGTTGGTTCGTGGCTCAGGGCCTCTCTGCCTCAGCCCTGTTCCATGTCTCTGCTCCGGTTTCATCCTTCCCGCTCTGTTTGCAGCTTCTCTGCGCAGGGGCCAGGCGGCAGAGTGCCAGCCACAGGAGCTATGGGGCACACGGGACCAGGCTGCCTGAGCTGGGGGGCTGCAGCCAGCTCTGCTGCTGGAGGGGTTTGCTCTGGTTTGGGGCAGGGGCTCAGACCAGACCACGGCACCAGCATGGGGCAGAGCCCGCCTTGGGATGTTTGGAGCTAAACACCATGCACAGGGCTGAGGGGACCCCGCTGCTGGCTGGAACTAGCTGGGAGTGGAGATATGCCAAGAATCACCCATCCCATGGGGGCAGAGGGGCCAGCGCCAGCACCTTCAGTGGGGGTTGAACCTCCTTGAGCATGAGCCTGGCTCCCAACCCAGGCCCCCCCATGGCCAGCACTGCTCACTGGCTGGACAGATGGACATGGCTCAGGCCAAGAACCACAGCAGCCGTGGAGGTAAGGTGATGCCAGCAGCACCAGGATGGACACAGGTCCCACAGGTCCTGGGAGGAGGGATGTGCCAGGGGTGTCACACCTGCCTCTGCCATTCACTGCTCCTCGCTGCCTTGCTAACACCGCTGAGCCCTGCTGAGCCCTGCTGAGCACCACTGAGCCCTGCTGAACACCGCTGAGCCCTGCTGAGCATCGCTGAGCACCACTGAGCATCACAGCGCTACCGCCACGCGCCGTCCTGCCGCCAGCCGCGGAACAAGGGACGGGGAGGGCCAGGGCCACCGTAACGTGCGCTGTCCTCTCTGTGTCCCAGCCATGTACTCGGTGGAGATCACAGTGGAGAAGGACAGAGTGACTGGGGAGACCAAGGTCCTGTCCAGCACCACCATGCTCCCCCAGAACCACTGTCTGCAGGGGGTCAAAGTGTACGAGGATGAGCTGAAAGGTATGGGCCAGCCCACACCAGTGGCAGGGGACAAGGGAGTGGCCACCCGAACATCCAGCGGGCACCCAGCAGGGTGAGGAAGTGCAGGGGCTGCTCCTGACAGCTTTGCCAGCGCTGTGAGGGCAATCCCTCACCAACACCAGTCCAGTGGATCACAGGATTGTCATGGCAGCGTAGTGTGGATGGGTCAGCCTGGTGTGCACGTCGTGACCCTGCACTGCTGGAGAGCAGAGAAGAGGATCTGTTGTGTCCAGGACTCAGGAGCCTTTCCCATGGGCAGGGAACATGCACTAGCAGCGTGTTGGCCTGTCCCACAGGCTGTCAGCGGGGAGTGTGGCTGATGGGTGTGGTAGAAGTGCAGCACTAGGGACTGGTCCCTGTCTGCAGCTCCTGCCTTTGGGAACATCTGGGAACCTGCTCCAGAGGGCCTCCTGAAACCCAAGGGACCGCTGTGGTGGCAAGGACCGGCTGTGGAAGTGGGGTGTCTTACTGGGAACTGTGGTGGCTGAGTGGACCGACCTCCTCATCAGAGAAAACAAAGAGCTCCCATTCAACCTCCTCTGTGTGTCCATGGCCATGCTGGCCCTGCCAGGCTGGGCACTGTCCCTCACTCACTGCCCACTGAGGCAGGTGCACTGACCATCACGTCATGCCCCAGGTCAAGTGGAAAATGCAACAAGCCCTTGGCCGCTCCGGCCGTGACGCACATCTCTGCCTCCGTGCACAGCACGCCGGGGTGGGAGAGCCTCCCCCGGGCACGGCGCCACCAGCTGCAATGGCCCTGCTGAATGTGGCAGGAGGCGGTGGGGAAATCAGCGGGGCAGCAACCGCCGAGCATCGCTGGGGTCTCAGAGGTGGCAGCGGTGACTCGCTGCGAAGCGTCACGTCAGCCCCGGCAGAGCCGGGCGCCAGCAGACGCCGTCCCGCCACGGGCAGCTTGGCTGGCTGTCGGTGGCCTGGCAAACAGCCGCGGCTCCCGCAGGGCTCGCTGAGCCTGAGGCTTTGGGAACAGCTCCTTCCATTGGGCTTTTATTTTGTTCTCCCTGGCTGCTGTCGGGCAGGAGCCAGGTGATGAGAGAGGGTCTGGCAGCAGCTCTGCTGAGGGGAGGGTTGGGATGCCGTGGGAGTCCCAGCCTCAGTGGCAGGACCTTTGGAGAGGGGAAGGGGCTGCTCCCCGACCACACAGGAGCCGGGGCTGAGCGGGCCATGCCAGCAAGAGCTTTGTCAGGTGTTTTTGTCTTTGTGCCCTCATCCCAAACGCCCTCACCCTCCCTCCTCTTGTCCCCACAGTGGTGCATGCGGTGAGTGCCGAGGACGGGGCCCTGCAGAACGGGGC